TGCCAATTTGTATTAAATTTCAACAATAATATCCCAGTTCTTAATGCATAAAACATCCACTTCTCCTATTCTTTTATGGTATCAGAGCAATAAAAGCTCCAACGAGTTTTTTTTTTTTTTTTTTTTTTTGATCCTTCTTCATCTTGTCCTTTGTTCACCCATGGCCTCAAGCAATGTTACTATCTCCTCAACCTCTATTTTTTATGGAATTATCTCCATTAATGCAACAGCATTAACCTGTTAAAGTATGTGCCTTAGAGCCAATTCACATATTGTATTTTGACTCTTTGTATCATGTTTATAATTAATAGACATTTTTCTACGTCATGTAAATTGTATTTAATTATATGTTATGATGTATGTCTTTAGGATGGTAAAACCATAACGAGTGTATTAAGTATTTCAAATCTCGATTGTGAGACCTTATAATCACATATAATTGCCATCCTGGAAATGTCCGTAGCCTCAGTATTATTCTAACCATGGGCAACGATAATACGGTAAAGCTATCATAGTGTTGAACGACCTTGTCAAAAGATAGTGCCAGTTCTCACATGTCAAGGCAAGGTTGTTTGGTGACAACCTTGACATATGAGAACTAGCCTGTCTTACAACTTCTATTGTTAGCTAGAATTGGAGAATGTAACCCCAAGGGGTTGACCTGATGGTTAATAAGGTTTGCTCCCTTCATTGACTTCTTGAGTTCAAACCACTTTGGAGCCACCTACCACATTTATGGCTTACTTGGCTTATAGGGCTTGTAAGGTGTTCAATGAGTCATGTGGATTAGTTGAGGTACGCACAAACTGATCCGGACACCCCGATTACCAAAAAAAAACTAGAGAATGTCTATCAAAAGAGGAAAATAATGATTCTGAAGCCTAAAGGATTAAAAATGACTCCAACCATCTGAATTATAATTTCAGTTCTGAGTTTTAATATACTGTCCACGAATTCCTTACTAAAGTCTAAACATGTGACGGTCATATTAGACAGGGTTCTGTAGTTACAATACCACTTGAGATTGACATTTGATAGAGGAAATTGATTATTTTGATGGCATAAAAGATAGAACCGACTCTCCAGGTCATGTGAGACATAAACTATACTGTAACAAAGCCAATACGGAAAATGATAATTATGCACATTTAATTGTTGCTCTTTTCCTCTTTTCGCTCTCCTTTCTCTTAAATCTCTTAAAACTTTAAGAAACTTTCTTGAGCTTTGTTTGTTTTTATAGACAGCATCATTATATTATAGAAAAGAGCTTTTATGAAAGATAAATTACATAAATTTTAAAGTGTATATGGATAGAAATTCAAGAATTCACCCGGTCTTAAATTAATTAAAGAGTTCTAATTAATGTGATATATCATCATTTCATCGCCTTATCTGGATGGAGCAAATTTAAAGATTGGCATTCATGGGAGTCAGAACCCAATTTCTGAAGTATTGTATAGTCAGTCCTCTTCAATAGCGTTTGCAATTCATTTTAAACCAGCATCTTGTAAATTTAAATTTCCCAGTAAAACCAAGTGTGACATTAATTAATCATGCTAACTACGACCTAAGATGTTGGTTTACGGCAGTTTAATTACGTCCCTAATTGTCATATATGATTATGATGAATGGTCCCTTCGTATATTTTGATTCGGTATTAAGACTTTAATCAAATAACCATCCTTGGGTGGTCAGATAGGCGATAAAGATTCTTGGATATATTACTCAAAAGGTATTAAGTTTGATTTCTTTCAATTGCTAATAGGGGTGATCATTAAAAAGTTTACCCGATTGTTAACTTCATAGCCCCGGTGATTAAAAGTAAATAATACAGCAACTAAAGAAAAAATTGAAGTAAACTAATAAAAATAAAATTTTGAGTCTGGTCACTAAACCCCACTCATCATAACGTGGGTCCTCCCATGTCTCAGAGCTAATCTTGTTCTATACTTCTATATATACAAGAACTTGCTTCTACTTCAGGTTTCGATTTCCTTGATCAAACAGGCATCAAAAGTTTCCAGTAAGATTGCTAGCTTAATCTTGGGAGACCCTTTTGGCTGCTCTTTTTGCCATTACTTGAGGGGTATGCATGGTTTAGGGTTTATATTCCATAACTGCCACCTGTCCAGCAGGCCGGGCTTGCCTTTATTAGGTAACCTTTCTTCTCTTGAACCTGATCTTCGTTGATCTTTTCAACCAAATTGTCTCCAATTTATGGCCCATTTATAAAAATTTCAACTGGGAAGCAAAATCTGCATCGTGATAATTTATGCCAACCGTGACTACCATACGGCATGATGAAATTGTCTCAGTTTGAGCTAACAATTCTACCCGTAAATTTAAGGATTCACCTCAGGGTGGGGATTCTCCGAATAAGCTGGGACGGGGACGAAAAGATTGCCCAAAAACGGGGATGAGATGAGGACAGGGATAGATATCTACCCACCCCGTACCTACCCCGCCCCGCTTAAACCCCAATATAAAATTATAAAATTAACCCTTCCATATTTATATAATTACAAAGATTAATACTACATTAATAAACATTTCTCACTAACTTTCTCTCACAAACACGATGTGTCAGCTAACATGGTCCCGTTGCCCAAAAATGGGTCTCACTTGACTAAATGCAAGCTAACCAATTGTGAACTGTCACGTCGCGTTTGTGAAAGAGTATTAGTAAAAAGTATTTATCAGGCTATCTTTATTCAATTACAAAAAACTCTCCATATATGTAGCCAAGGTCAAACCCTAAACCAATTAAGTGAACTCTTTAGAGAGAGAGAGAAAAAAAAATTTCTCTCAACTCTTTGGCTAGAGTCGACGCCGCCGTTGGTGGTCTTCACCGCAACTCCGGTGCCATCTGCAGCTAACACTTTCCCAATCAATCAAACACCTAGCCGCCATTTCTAGAAGCTCTCTTCTCGCCGTGCCACTTGCACTTATGTTGTCGTGCTTGCACACAACCTTTGGAGATCTCTCACGGTAGCCTCGTTTTCTTTGAAACCGACCTTGGTCTTTGTGTTGCCGGCCATTAACAGGTCAACTGTGCAATCCTTTCGATAATATGTGCCGCATGACTAGTTTTGTCTCCCTAATTCGGGGCGGGGTGAGGCTAGCACAGGGGTCAATATTTCCCCACGGGACAGGCACAGGGGTTCCTTGCCATCCCTGTAGCGTACAGTCGAGAGCTCTAGCTTGGCCCGAGAAGAATCAGAGCCAATCCTAACCGAAAGTGTGCAGATAGTCAAGAGGTCTCGCCTAGCCCAAGAGGGATCGCAGTGAGGACGCTAGATCCTAAGAGAGGGAGATTGAGACATCTCACATCTCTTGGGAAGGAGAGACTTAAGCTAGTTAAATACCAAGAGAATCTCCCAAATGTCAAGACGCGTTTTAGGTTTGAGTAAAGGTTCTTGGGCCTGAAAACAAAACCGTGAAGAGCTAGGCTTCGGAGTCGCGCCATCCAGACACAATATCTTGATAGTATTAGGCCGACTGTGGGCCAAGGTGTTACAAAGACAATTCAGAAATCCTAGCACTTCACGAAACCAATTGAAAACACATGGTTATCAACATTAACTTTTGAAAAGGTGGTGTATGGCATCAGTATGCAATGGCTCAATAAGCAATTAAGTAAATTTTGGCATTATGGGAGGGGAGCATCGATCAAAGAGAGCAAATTTAGAGAGAGCTAGTGTACTAGACATAAGTGCATTACACTTTTTTGAGTAATACTAACCTTACAAAGAGGCATACAAAGAGTCATATAAAGAATCAAATCCAGCCCTTTAAATTCATGATTGCCTTTTTCTCTCTCTCTTTTTCCCTTCTTTCAATGGTTGGATTTGACTTTTTGTATGACTCTTTGTATGCCTCTTTGTAAGGCTAGTATTACTCTACTTTTTTTCTTTGATCAGGTTTTATCCACTGGGTTTTTTGGGCATGGATTTTAATGAGGCAGTATTGAACACATCCAACTCCATTATACAGTTTATCATGTAATTATGTTTATTTGCTTAAGGTTTTTGGTCCCACTGCATTTTTCCCAAGTCAAATATAATTATCTGTGTATTGTGGATTTTATTTGGTAGAGATCCAAGGAGTATTGTAAGAACGTGGATCTACCACCACTTGAGACTTTTTCGTCATCCCATTGCCACCTTTTGACACATGGCAAAAAGTTTGTATATGCTTGCTAAATATGTCACACCTACTACCTAGCGGCTAAATGACAGGTTTTAATTAGTTTAGGGGCGGCAAAGACCACTATATAAACCCGTTCCCTCCTTGGATTTTGCAGTACTGATCTGAGAAATAAATCAATGAGAAGGAAACAACACTTCACCCCTTCTATCGTTCTTCTACTCATAACAGTCTCTTATCTTTCATTTATTACATTTTAGTCCTTATTATTATTTAATATTTCCTCAATTAGTTTACAACAAATATAATGCCTTTTCCCAATAAATAATTTATTGCAATCTGATAATTTCTTTTTGACAAAATGCTTTTGCCTGATTTTTCTGTTCATGCATGACTTACCCAACCAGTGACATACCGCACAAGGCCTTCACACCTACCAGACACCATAATGCCTGCTAATTCCTAAAAAAACACTTTTGAAAAAAGGGTAATTACCCATGCAAGAACCTCTTAAAAATATCTAATTACCAAGGTTTAATCATGTAATCAGTAATCACTAAAGAACATCAGAGTTCAGCTGTCAGTCAATGAATTGCAATTTGACTCTTAAGCTCAACTATAATTCTTTTCTTGGTTCCAATACTGGGAATACAACATTCAATCAAAACAAAAGCGCACTGGCGTATTACTGAAATTCATGATAATTAACTGAAAACTTCTGAAGCCATTGTCCATGTCAACCCAGCAGCAGCAGGTTAAGCCAATTAGCTTAGCACCAAATTTTGCAAGAAAAGATTGCCATTGTATTTAATATCAAAATTAAACATCCAAAACATTAACTTAAAGAAAGAAAATTGCGAGTAAACAAAATCCCTCTCCACAAAACATAGAACATAATCGTTAACTTCAAAAATAGTATGGAAAAAACAAACTAGAGTTTTCACCTACAACAACCATTAAAAACATTAATTCTTAACAAATATCTTCCAAGCAGACAGTAAGACAGGGAGGGAAGATTACTTCTGAATCACTAAGAACTAAATAGTGCCAGAAAGGAAGTCGGAAACATTTAAGAGTCAGCGATAGTAACTTCCACCTCAACACCAGGTTCAATTGTAATGGAAGTGATCTGCTTCACCACATCGGGGGAGCTGAAGAGGTCAATAACTCTCTTGTGAACACGAAGCTCAAATCTATCCCAAGTGTTGGTTCCTGAAAACAATATGGCCATAACGAATTATCTTTTGATAAAAAGCATGAAAGCCATTCTAAAAATCCAAAGTGCATGCTATGCCAACTGCACATTACCATACACCCGTATTGCCTTAAGTATAGAAACAAGGACCCTCACACCCCTGGAGGACCCAGGCACTATTTTACCCACAACTTATAGTAGCTCATTTATACCTTAATTGTCAGAAGAAAGAATCAAATTGTGTAACTAAAACTAAGCATACAAATGCTTGGAAAGACTGAATGGGTCTCCAAATAAAAAATTGATTCACCACTCTGTTTCCTAAAGTTACTCAGTTAAAAGGAGTCATGGAACATGTGACAAATTCTTTCAGGTTCACATTTTTCTTCAATTAAGAAAACCTTACCGAATGTCATACATATGAAAATGAGGCTTAACAGAAGGTCTCGTCAAGGAAAATATCCATTTATACATATTTTAAAGAACTTTCAACACTGGAACAGAATTAACAAAAGAAATCCAAGCAACTAATTTAAAATGCAAATATGTTTAAATAGTCTTGAGATCAATACCTTCACCACAAGGAGACTTCCTAGTGGTAATGTGAAGAACCTTGGTTGGCATTCTCACAGGTCCCTTAACCCTCAATCTCTTATCCTTGGCACCACGAACTAAATCCGCACAGACTAATATAACCACAAAAAAGCGCCGTAAGAATAGCTTAAAAAAATTCCTACCATACCATACTTAAGTTGCCATTCTACTGCAAATTCAGATATAAACAAAATCATAGAGCATGAATAAGCTCCAAACCATAACCATTACAACAAGGCTATGATCTGATAACAAAGCATCATTATGCGAAATAAAATAATAATCATATGGGTGTGATTGGATTGCAAAACACAGACGAAAAAATTACCTTTCTCGAGATTTTTCACATTCTTCGAGGAAAGAGTGATTCTTATCTTGTGAATCTGCTCTTGGGGCTCCTCCAAACCCGGCTTGGTTGGTTTGATTCCGTAGGCCGCCATTGTTTGTAGACTATTCTAGGGCTTACTGAGAATATAATAGCCAAAATTCATTCAAAATATGCAACTAACAAGTGCTCTTCAATCACATAAACTAAATAATTTAATTTTCAGATTAACAGAAAAATGAATCAGTCTTCGAGTGTTGAAACACGAATGAAACGGGAAAAACAGTACATAAAACAAGGCACATAAACAAAACAAAGTCGTCATAATTCTGTCAAACATAGAGGGAGAGGGAGAGAGATACCTAGATTGTGAGAGAGAAGGGAGCTGCTGCAGCTTCTGCTTTGTGAAACAATGGCCAGTTCCAATAAAATGTTGCGAGGGTTATATATGTGTAGTGTTATTACTAGGGTTAGGGTTTTTGTTTCGATCTCAATCTCTTCGGCTGGGTAATGGGCCTTCAAGTTGCTTTGTCAGAGTTTAAGCCTGGCCCAAGTTCTAAACCTTGCTTGTTTTTCCATGGAAAATTCCAACCCCACTAATTAGATCAGCTACCATTTTCAAAATCAAACAAGGGTAAATTTGTAATAATTAAAAAATAAATAAAATAAAATTTCATTAGACATCGATATTGAAAAATCAAGGTTCAGTCACTAATAAAAGCTTCAAGAAATTGGTCCAAAGAACAATAATAAAACTATCATTTATCATAAAGTTCTTCTCACAAGTTAAATTTTTCATCAAGCGATCAAAAAATATCATCACAGATCCAATTTATCATAAAGATCTCTTTTTCAGAAGTTAAATTTTTCATATTATAAATTTCATCAACCTACATACACCTCTTCTCTTAACTTTGGTAGTAAATGAATTTGTTGATTAACCTCTCCCTTCGTTGTCGAATGATAAATCTTTTAACCACTAGGGTTAGTTATACTTAGGGGTAATATATACCACGTTTGTGTGATTATCTTAGTTCATTAGGCTTGTAGGGTATTCCGTAGTCCTTAGGATTAGGCAGGTTTCAATGTGGGTCTGGATATCTCAAATACCTTTTTTGGGTTTATAAGTTGAGCTTATAAGCTAGTTTGACCAAGTATATTATCACATTATTTCTATTTAATTTTAAAATTCTATCATACAATTTATTAATTGATAAAATAATATAATATCTTTTTTAGTCATTTTGATAATAAAATGTAATTATAAACCACATTTTACCAAACACATCAATTACTTACCAGTAACTTATAAATACTTTAATCAAACACATAATTACTTAAATTTTAAATGTTTATAAGCTCAAATTAGCCTATAAGTACTAAATACTTATAAGTTAATTTTCATAAGTTCGGTCAAACAGGCTCTAAGCTTTAAAACTTAATCTGGGAAATGAATTTAAGCTTATAATTTATTTTTATAAATCTTATTTAACAGAAGATTTAGACAAACACGGCTCCGTTTGGTTCACAATTTTGTGTTTTTGGGAAAAGTTTTTTTAAAAAAGTTAAAAAAAAGTTGAATTGGGCGGGTATTACGATGTTAGATTTATAAATTAATAAGATACCCCCTATGTTTATTTTTTTACAAAAAAACCCCTATAATAAAACATTAAAAGTTAACAAAAACACCCCCAATCCACCCTCAAATACGGACAACCGGCCACCACCGCCGGAGGGTGGCCGAAGTCGTTGTATCGGCACATGACTGGCTGGATCTTGTCGGTCGTGCGCCGATATGGCATTTTCCGACCAGATCCACGGTGGATCTAGCCGGCAAAGGCCAGATCTAGCCATTGACGGCCAGATCCGGCCGTATTTGCTTGTCAACGACGGCCAACAAACGATCGTCGTTTATGGTCAACAACGACCGTTTGTTGGCCGTTGTTACCGACTAGTTACGGCCAAAGATCTGGTAGTCAATGGCCAGATCTTTGGCCTTAGATCTGGCCGGAAAAGGCTAAATCGGCCCACTACCGGCCAGATTCAGCCGGTAGTGCACCATCCTACCAGATTCCGACCATTTTCCGGCAATGGTGGCTGGAATCTGGTAAATGTGGATTGTTGGGGTGTTTTTATAATTTTTAAAAAAATATTTAAGGGTATTTAATTAAATTAACAAATTTAAGAGGTTTAAAAAAAGTTAAATAATATTGTGAGTTTTTGGGTATTTTACTTTTTAACTTTTTTTGAAATACTAAAAATAGTATTCCCAAAAACCAACCAAACGAAGCCAATTTTTTTAATATATTAATATTATTAATATTTTTTTAGTAGCCTTAATAACAAACAAGCACCATGAGCTCAATAAGTTAAAAGTTCAGAGCTCAAAAAATTTATTGAATTCATTCGGAAACGGCATATCAAGATTATTATGACTAGTTTAAAAGAAACAAATTTCCCTGAATACGAACATCTGAAAACAATAGAAGCAACAATAGTAGCTTTCAAATGGCTATAATACAATCATTCAATGAACCACATTAGCCATGGAATATGGTAGCAAATCTTCCAACTGCTACTGCCAAAACTACACTAGAATGACATGTAGCTGTGGTAGTACATCCACTGTGATTGCCAAGAAAACTGTAATGAAAAAAGAAGAGTGGGAGTGGGGAAGAGAGCTGGGAAAGAAGATACAACATCCAAAGTGTCCAGAGATTGTAGTAATAACATCACATCCAAAATGTCTCCAGAGCAGGCTAATTGTTCACACAAATCCAATAACAATAAACAACAATCACACATGAAAAACAAAACAAATCAAGCATTCCTTCATTTGAAATAAAATTTGTTGAAAGATGAGTACACCAGAGCATGCACGAGTATAGAACCTTCAATTTTAGGCGCACTGCAATATCCACTGGTGCATATTCCAAAGTGTTCAATCTCCTGCAGTCTAGTATAAGCTCTAAGATTGTGTGCATGTTAGCTACACGTATTTTACTATACTCGGCTCCTTAAATTTCTATTCTCACAATTAAAAGTTTCCACAAAGGAGACTACCTTTTTTTCCATCAATTCCGGGTTTTGTCCAGCCTATATGAAAAATACAAAGTAGCCCAATAGAAGAGCCAAATGATCCTCTCCTTTGGTGTAAGTCTACCGTTAATGCAACAATTAAATTAAAATAATTAATTAGCTGGCCAAAAACTAAAAGAAAACTTCAATTTTCATATTATTATTGTATAACAAAAATACATAAAACACAATTAAGCTTACATTCTTCACAGCAACATGTAGAAGACAATAATTTCACAGGAAAACCCAAGACAGGCGCATGCTATTATTGAAACTCCAAACGATGATTATAGAAGCTTTCAGATGATCAGATGTCCCAAATTAACAGATCATGACTGTAATGACTAAAGTACAAATCATAGAAAGAAAAAAAAAAAAAAACAATGTGGAATATGAGAGAGATGCTTCTGGTTTCTCTATCTAATTCATATAAGCCCTGCAAAGAATGCACATCAACCATGAAACCTTCACTATCGTGGTTCAAGTATCAGGAATCAAATCAAATAAAGATTCATAAGATCCTACCACAGATCCACAAAAGAACTCATTTACACAGCACTCTTCTTGCCTGATGGTGAGTAGTAGTCTAGATACCATCTCACAAACTTCTTCAACCCAGCCTGCAAATCTGTTTTGGGCTTATACCCAAGCTCCCTCTGTGCCAAACTAACATTAGCATGAGTAAACAACACATCCCCATTTGCCGGCATTGGTAACACAATCTTCTTTGCCTTCACCTTCAACAACTTCTCCAACGTGCTAACAAGCTTACCAACAGGCTCCGGTGTCGTATTCCCAAGATTAAACACTCTCAATTGCGCCGGTCCCCTCTTCTTCCCACCACTTCCTGTGCTTTTCTTTGCAGTATCCAGTGCCGCCAAGCAACCCTTCACAATATCATCAATGTAGGTAAAATCCCTAGCCACAGTACTATGATCAGGACCTTCAAATATCACCACATTCTTTCTTTTCAAAATATTCCTTGTGAAAAAGAAATAAGCCATATCCGGCCTACCCCACGGACCATACACAGTGAAAAACCTCAACCCTGTAATTGACAAACCATAAATGTGATTATAAGTATGTGCAATTTCTTCACCTGCCTTCTTACTAGCAGCATATAAACTCGAAGGCTGATCAGTCCGGTCTTTCTCCGAAAAGGGTATTTTAGTATTTAGTCCATAAACTGAACTGGAAGAAGCCCATACAATAGCAGGCTGTGGATTTGCAAATTTACAAACTTCAAGCACATTAACAAACCCAGCAATGTTACTGTTAACATAAGAACTTGGATTCTTCATTGCATAACGAACACCGGCCTGAGCCGCTAAGTGCATTACGTGGCTAAATTTAACTAACCCAAAAAGCTTTTTCAACAACAAAGAATCATTAATATCACCTTCAACAACAAACACACCTGCGCGTTCAAGAAGCGAAGCGCGTCCACGTTTCAGTGACGTGTCATAGTAATCATTAAAATTGTCGAGTCCAACGACGCCGTCACCGCGTCTGCGCAATGCGGCAGACACGTGGGTGCCGATGAAGCCAGCGGCGCCAGTGACGAGCACCACACGACCGCCGGCGCGGGAGCGGGGGCGAGCGGAGTGGAGCACGCGGTACTCCCAGTCGGCGCCGCCCCAGAGACGGCGGCGAGAGGAGTCGGAAGAAGAGGGAGGGTGGTAGAAGAAGAAGTAAATGAGGGAAAGAAAGAGCAAAGACCAAAAGAGGAGTTTGGTGATGGAAAAATGGTAACGAAAGCGGTGAATGTAAAGGGGTTTGTCCATTTTCTGGAGAAAGTGATAGAAAAATGTAAAATTTCAGTGAATCATTATTTGGTTTTTAGGGTTTTCGATTACAATGTGAATGAAAATCTGTTATAAATTTAGAAACATTTGGTTGTTGGTGTTGTTTATCAAAGTGAAGGAAGTTGGACTGTTAAAGAGTTGGGTTTTCTGTTTGTGAAAGAGAGAGAGATATGATCATGAAATTAATCAAGTCTAATTGTAGTTTAAATCCTAACAGATGTCCTGCCACGTGTCCTCTCGTCACTCTCAAATCAAAAGATTCAATCACAGTTTAAGATGAGATAAAATTTGATTGGGTAATTAAGTGTATTTAGTTTGGTCTTGATAACAGAGAAGTTAATCCTATAGATTAAAAAATAAATAGATAAATAAATTTGAAGAATTTTTTTTTTTAAATCTAGCTGGCTGAGAGAAATTAGGACATTAATTATATCTTAAATATAAGGTTTTAAAAATTAAAAGAAATATCTTATCAATCTCTTTTGTATTTAAAAAAAAAAGTTAGTTTAATACCAAGAAATTGGAAATAATTTATTGGTTAGTGTAGAAATTTATGAATAATAAATCCACCGGCAGGAGCAAGTTGAGAGGGGCAATGTGATTCTGCAAATCTGTTATTTTCATTTTCAGATTATCAACTTGCAATTTAATTATTCATATTTCTTACTTTGGTTATTTCCCCAGATATTGAGAAGAGAGCAGGCATCCTTTGTCTATCATCTTCAGTGCATGTGCCTAGATCTGTCTAACATCTAATTTACCCAAAATCTTATTTTATATTCTGTTATGCCTAAAAAATCAAGGCTGATGTAAGCTTACATCAACTAGCTCCAATCAGAATTTAGGAAGGTTTTGCCCTGGCCATGGATTGCCACATCACCCCAAGACAGAGAGAATACGACTGTCACCAACTTGACAGATTCAGGTTTTGTCTATAAGTGAATGGGAGTCGTACACTTGTCCAATCCCTAGGTAACTTGAGGATATATATTAAGTTATCAACCAATGGGAGGCACGGAAGGACTTGCACAGCAACTACCCACTTACAGATTTGTAATCATTACCTTGAATTCCTCTACTATAAATAGAGGACTCCCCCTTTCATTTTCGGGATTCTGATACAGAAAACTCACACTTTGATTGTAATCTATATTTTCAAAGCAAAGATAACCTACGAGAAAGAGACTGACTTGATATTCTATCTGAATAATCAATCGTTATACCTCTGCTTACTGTTCGTTATATGCGACCTCTTGTAATCTCTCATATATAAAATAACAGTGGACGTAGGACTTGCATTAAGCATCCAAACCACTTCAAAAATCGTCTTTTATTTATTATTCAGTCTTTGCATTAAATTATCATATTTATTCACGTGTAATTTCTAAGACTAGCTTAGCACTTTGCACGTGCGAGTCATTGGTGTCAAAATCAAGCATCAACAGTTTGGCGCTAAAAGGAGAGCCTGATTTAGTATCCGCTCTTCATAAGGAATCTCTGATCAACCAGTTCTATTCGCAAACAAATGGCTCGTGGTCTTGAAGCTGAGCGAGCTAGCACTAGCAACAAGGAGATCCTTTGGGCGTAGGATGATGCCCCTCCTAAGGTACCTCCAATTTCGCAGAGTACTATGGCGGATATTCCCTCGAGCTCACAGCTCGACCCAACTGTGAGGAATTACTTAGAGAGGTTCACAATACTCTCCAAACGGTCAACCAAAGGCTAGATCGTTTGGATCATGTTGTACCAGCTAATTCTGATAAAGTGGTGCCACCGTCGAAGGCGCCTGTAGGTCATGCTAAAGCACGAAAATGGGCGAAAGCCCATGGTGTGCGCACTACAATGCTTAAAGATAAAGGGAAGCAAGTGGCCGATAATGTGCCAAAAGGCTCCAAGGGACCAGCGAACCTTGGTCGTGAAGCAGGTAGAATACATATGGCTTTGCGACTTGACGGTATGTCACATCATGAGCCGTCCCACGCCACATCTCATGGGCTCCCCCACAAGAGTGCAAGGCAGGGAGATTCCCATTATCATCGGCGTGATGGTTCCAACCATCACCATGAAGGAAATGCCCACCATCCACGGGTCGATTTTGACCACCGTGGAGGTCAGGATAGCTCCTCTAGCCATTCCATGCTTTCGCATGGCTCAAGCCAGCGTGTGTCAAGGTATGCTGGAGGATTCGTCCAAGGTGAGAAAGAGTCTGACCTGCGGTCTTTCTTCAATCGTAATTGTGAGGGTCAAACCCACGTTGCGAAAAGTGATCCCCAAGTAGCTCCGCTTCCTCATATTGAGGAGTTACAGCGAGCTTTGAATCAAATTAGAGCTCAACAGAATGAGCGAGGGCAGGTCGTTAAGGCGTTTCCCTTTTTTCTAGCAGTATTGACTACTCCTCTCCTGTCAAGATTCAGAATGCCCGACATGCGAGCATTCGATGGGAATTCTGATCCGCAAGATTATCTCTATGAGTTTAACGACCTCATGAAGCTTCACCAAGTTTTCAACTTGGTTCAATGTCGCTGCTTAGCAGTAACTCTGACTGCCCAAGCCAAGCACTGGTTTAGATTGCTTCCACCAGGATCTATTAATTTGTGGCAGCAAATGAGTTCATTATTTTTTAGACACTTCCAGGCTAATAGGAAGTTCTTAATGCCATTAAGCTATCTGAGCAATATACGACAGGAAAGGAATGAGTCCCTCTCGTCTTATATCGACAAGTTCCACAAAGAGCTACATAAGGTGACTAATACACTTGAAGAGTCAGTTCAGACTCTTATTATTGCGAGAGTTCGCCTGCAAACCAACCTAGGGAAGAAGCTACAATCTGAGGATAATATTTCCCTCACCCGTTTCTACAACCTCACTGAGAAGTATCTCAAAATTGAAAATTCAGTGGCTGCCTTGAATCGCCACAACCCCGAGTCCTTCGACAAGCGCTCTTAGTCAGAGGGATGAAAACTGGGGGGAAGGTAGTAGAAAGCCTGATCGCAGATGGGCTAATGACGATCAAAGAAAGGGAAAGAAACAACGGTTTGAGCCCAAGAAATCTTATGCCTAGGTTTCTCATCGCAATCGCGAAAAGAATCAGTATACTCCGCTAATGCATTGGTATCAGCTATTCTGGATAAATCATAAGAAGCTAGTATGCTCGGAGAGTTGCTGACCATGAATAATCCCCCTTTAGCAGGAACAACAAGAAATATTGTCGTTATCACCGGGATAATGGGCACCATACCGATGAATGTCAGGCTTTTAAGCAAGCGATTAAGGACCTCATTAAAAATGGGCACTTCAAGGAGTATGTTGATAGTCTAACTCCCACTCGGGAGAAGGACCAAAGGGACTAGGGGAAGAAGCGCCATGGTCGCAAGAGCCTCCATTTTTTCATAATGATATTTAAAGGGCCTCACCTTACGGGGAATTCTCGAAGTGCTCAGGAGAAGTACGCTCGAGAAGCTCACCATAACCCCGTGAGTGTGATGAACACGGTGTTGTGACCTGTAAAAGTGCACAAAAATGAGGAGATCACCTTCTCAGAAAAAGACGCGGTATGATTGCATCACCCCCATGAGGATGCACTCGTTTTCGCGCCTGAAATAAGTTGGTGCAAAGCCCACAAGATGTTAGTGGATAATGGTAATGCTGTGAATATCCTATTTCAACGAGCATTCAAGGAAATGCAATTGAACGAGGCAGATTTGAAGCCTGCCTTTATCCCCTTTTATGGTTTTATAGGGGATCATTTGATTCCCAAGAGAACAATTGTACTTCCTATCACTTTGGGTGAGACCCACAAAGTGACTAAGATGACCGAGTTTTTGGTAGTAGAATGTCCATCCACTTTCAATGGCATATTGGGACGACCTCTACTCGGAACTTCAAGGTTGTCATCTCCATCTATCGTCTAAAGATGAAATTTCCCACACCGACAGGGTGCGGGGAAGTTAAGGCCTCTCAAAAGTAAATCTCGCAACTGCTATGTAAGAGCAGTGCAAATGGCATGCAAAGAGAAAGGGAAGTCGATCGGCTTTCCTGAGCAGGTTATGACGATCAGCAAGATCGAACCACAGCCAAGTCTAGTGGAACACAATTTAGATCCTTGGGTTCAAGAGAAGTATTCCCACAGTGGGCCTGTTGAGACTCTTTGTGAGGCATCGTCGACCAAAGCAAGATGACCCGTATATTGAGAATCGAAAGTAATCTCAGCCCTCAGCTCGCTGCCAATTTGACAAGCATCCTCAGAAAGAATATTGATGTTTCTGCCTGAACTTTTGCTGACATGGTCGAGATCAACCCGAATGTGATATGTCATGCACTCAACATCAACAGTGAGATCAAGCCAGTTCACCAAAAAAAAAGAACCCTATACCCAGAGCGTTATGCTGCTCGTAAGGTTGAGATAGATAAGCTCCTATTAATCGGGTTTATTCAGGAGTCTTATTACCTTATTTGGGTTGGCAATCCTGTTTTGGTGAAGAAACCCAATAGCAAATGGCGAACTTGCATTGATTTCACCAACCTCAACAAAGCCTATCTAAATGACAGGTTCCCTTTGCCTAGAATTGATCAGCTCGTTGATACCACTTCTTAGTGCGAGTTGTTAAGTTTTGTGTATGCCTACTCGGAGTATAATCAAATCCTGATATACGCATCCGACGAGGAGCATACCTCGTTCATTACGGATCGAGGACTATACTGTTATAAAGTCATGCCCTTCAGTTTAAAAAACACGGGGGCAACCTATCAGTATTTGGTTAATCGTATGTTTTTCGAGTAGATCGAAAAGTTAATGGAAGTTTATCTCGATGACATGCTGGTCAAGTCGCATGTCGCTTCAGATCACATAGCCCATCTTGTAGAGATGTTCAACATACTTCGGAGATATAGAATAAAACTCAATCCTCTCAAGTGTTCATTCGGTGTATCCTCTGGGAAGCTCTTAGGGGATATGGTTAACCATCGGGGAATTGAAGTCATCCCCGAAAAGATCCAAGCTTTCTTAGATATGAAAAGTCATGTCAACCGAAGCAGGTTCAAAGCTTAAATGGGAGGATAGAGGCTCTCAGTCGCTTCATATCAAGAGCGACAAATT